AGCCCAATTTGGTCTGGGCCCGAGGTGGGCTTAATAAACGGCGACTACTGTAGTTTGAAGGATTGCCACCATCTGTCACAGAGAAGTGAACCAGACTTGCATACTTCCTCCTTAATTTAGCTTTGTGACAGTGTTTACCCCCATGATATCCAGATGTTCGAAAGGTGCGCATCTTTGTGGCGATGGTTCACCGCGTACACCGCGCCAGAGGATGGACACATGGTTGTCGTTATAGTGGTGGTAGACTAGCGCAGAATCGACCAAACTTTACCTTCTTTTACCAGGGCACCGAGTCAAGAAGACGAGGAGCGGGTTTCGGATGATAATTCCTAGTGTGGCGTGTGCTTACGTCTAGGCGTGCCACCGCATACCCACATGTGTGGATTTTTTGGTAAGGAACTATCGTGGGATCTCCACAGTGCGCGTGAAGCGCGCTCCAGTCCAATGCGGGCACCTCGTTTTAGCAGGTAGAATAGGTGGGACACATTGGGGGACAAATCAGAGCGCAATAATCATGTAAATTAAGAAATTTACGCGTGTAAGTTGGGGGGTGTACGCTGACCTTGGGCGAGATCTCTGAGCTACTTTTTAAAATCATCACTAACCTCTGCTGGGCCAACGGCGAGCGCGTGTATGTTGGAAGGTCTTCGCTCACCTTGGGCGAGATCACTAAGGTACATTTTTTAATAGCACCACCAATCCCAACTGGATTAACGGTGGGCGAGCGAAAAATTGGAAGATTGTAGAAATTCATCCCTACTTAAATTTGTAAGTAAGTGTTTATTGCACACGTTGACCTTCCAAGCACCCCTCTATAGTTCCCTGCCAATTTTTTTAATGGCTGCGCACTCCCAATGACGTCTGCTGTGCTCCGATTTAGCGTCCATGGTGGCCCAGCGTATCTATCGCGTTGCAAACAGACTCAGAATTGCAATCGGTATAACAGTAATAGAACGGTTGGAGCCATTCATGGGATTTTATTAGAAATTTAACGTTTAGCTACGTTAAAAAATACCTTAAGGATGACAGTTTCGAAGTTTGCCAGCAGACGATGCATCTGTGTCTTCCTTTGAAACGAGGATCTGATTTCAGCAGCGGATTATGATGACCTAAACGTAACCGATCACTTCAATGGTAGAGAAACTTTCACTGATCTCATTGTGCGACGTGCTCTCCAGCACCACCAGCAGCTGGTATTATCTGCTAAATAACAATATTGCCCAATGTCTCCCGATCTAAACCGGCAAGTCAACTAGCTCGGGTCTCAATGGTCAGAGCATTCGTTTTCTGATCAGCAGTCGCGAGCTTGGACCTCGGTTGGTGCACCAATTTGTTTAGGTGTGAGTAGCTGTTGATGGCTTATAAGCCAGAAATGGCCGTTCTAGTTTCCCTTATCTTTGCCGGCAATGCTGTCTGCAAAATAACTTGACCGACAAAGACCTTAGAGGGTAGAATGGCCATCTCTGCCCTATTAGTCTAGCATAAATCAGTCACGCTGAATCTCATGTATCGGCAATATTTGCTGTTCGAATGCTCGACCTGATGGTTAAAAGCTAGACACTGTAATAAATCACTGCTCAAATTCCATTCACAGTTGACGGATTAAGTCAAATCGTCTGCACCTGCAGTGCCCAAGAACCGCTTCCATGTCTTAGCAGTTTGAATTTGGTCAGGTTTTGAGTCAATCTCACCCCGCCGCGCCCTCCGATGCCTTCAGGGTCACTGGACCGAGAGCCTTCTGTAGAACTACCAGGGATAATCTGCTTATATGCAGTTTTTTTGCATTGTTAGACCTTTGTCGATGATATTGCATTTTCTTTCCCTTCCAGTCCGCGGTCCTCTACTTGGGTAGACGTGAACCGGAGCCACCTGCTAGCGTGACTTACCCACCGGCCTATCTCTACTGGAAGTCTGTGTGCTATGTGGAGCCGCAGGCACGGCCCACGACTGCTCGACGTGTTACCAGCTTTCGTGCAACCAGTCTCACCAAGTCTGACAAGGACAAGGAATTTCGAATTTCTGTTCCGCGTGCCCTCTTCGGTAACCTCTTCAACCCAAACCAGCCGGAGCAATCGCCGTTCATTGCCATTCGACACCATCTCCTCTCCTTTGGCACTCCATTTGATGGTTTCTACGCCAAGACAGGTCACTTGGAGTGGTGAGTGCCCTTTGGCTATACGATATGCGCCTCAAACCTCCAAATTGCACCGTCTGCCATTCAAAACTCGCATGCAACATGCTCAGTGTGCGTGTTTGTGTGGAGTGTTCGACTGGCGGACTGCGAGTTAGCCTGCACTGGTTCCTTCTTAGCGTGACCTCTATAGCACCCTCACTCCCTGGAAGCCGAGTCAGCTATAGCGTCAATCTTAAGGGCGGCTCCCGTCGTGTCAGCCATCCACGAACTCTTTTACATCCGATCATCCGGACTCGGTCCCTGACACGGGGCCCAAGTGCGGGAGGAGATTGCGCGGTAAATGCAGCGCACTTCACTGCGTTTGTCTCCAGCCCGCGGTGGACATCATGAAACTCGACGGTCGAACTATCCTAGGGCACCCTGTGTGCCGACGCCGTTACTGGTGTTCTTTGAACTGGTTGAACTCTGC